TTTTAGTTACTTTTATAATAATAAATAAAGAATAAATATGAAAAACAAGAAATAAAGTACTTACCAAATTCGAAGAGAGTTAACCCTAATTTGTACTGTGAGTGAAATTGACGATATTCTGTTCAGAATACGTTATTTGATAGATGAAAACCTTAACTTTCTATTGGTTATAGGTAATACATTAATGAAACATAAGAGAGAACTATCAACAAATTGTGAAAGAGAGGATGTGACAGGTGGGTGTGGCAGAAGGGGTGTGATTTTCTATTGAAGGCTATAAAAATTATGGTCTGTTTGAGCAATATTGATTTTATAGAGAGTATTTTATGTTTAATTTCATACATTTTCAAGGGGTGATGGATAAAATAAGAATAATGACATGCTAAGACAAAATGTATCACGTGGGTCACACTAGTGGAAATTCAGAATTTTTTAAAATACTATTTTGTAGAATTAAGAATATAAAACTTGTATACCAATAAAATATAGATTATTAGCTGAGATTTTATGTTATTCTAATTGGTATAACATAAGCAAAAAGTAGTTTAATAACATTTTGAATGTAAGACACTAAAACCTTGTGTCATGTGCAGTAAAGGGTACTTGGGGTGATAGGGTTAAAATATAACTCTCTTAAGTCAAGTCTTCCCTGTCTTTTTCAGTCTTAAACTTGTGTCCTGTTGTCCTATTATCTTCAGAACATAGCATAAAGAAAACAGAGACTTTATCGTATCAGTATCCTAGATAATACTGTATACTTTAATAAGATTACCTTTTACCCATTTTTCTTAAGAGAAAATAACGTAAAAGAGATCTTACCCTATCCCCAAATAATAACCCTTCCATCCCCCAGAATTATTCTAGTAGCCTTCACCTGAATTCTCTTCAGTAAGTCAATAGTTTCATATGATAACCATCAGACTACCCTTAACAGAAATTTTTTGAATATGTGTGTGTTTTCTTCACTATTACTTAGATCTTCACATTGTATGTTACTACTATTTTATCATAAATGATCTTCAAAATATGGATGTTTAAGAAGAATTGGAAATTTTTGTTGCATACCCAGTCACAATAAATGGGTCCCAATACTCTTAAGGTACAGATCTGATATACACAGTACTAATACACTATAAACAGAGATACAAGGAAAATCAATTCCAACATGAACCACAATAAGCATAATTATTGTAAAGTTTTAATTAAAAAAAATATATATATATATGAGCAATGCTGCTGTGTTATTTTAGTTTTAAATCACTGCAGAACTCTTTTAATTTCACTTCCAGTTTCAAATGCAGAGAGAGTTTTCACTGCTGAAAGTCCTATATAAATCATTCAAAAAGCAAAAAGTAAGGACAGTTTTCAGTGTTGAATTCTGTCTCTGCATCACTAAATGAAATCAACCGTAACCCTTTAAGGATGGGCATCGTGATGCCTCGTTCCTGCACAGGCCACAAAAAAAAAAAAGGAAAAAATAGCCAATTTGTATAAGTACATTTATTTACACATCTAAGCATTTTTACATAGTAAGAAACATTAAAATAACAAATTTCATTACTCTATAAACTAATAATATGATTCTAACCACATTTTCTAAAAGGTTTTTCGTGTATGATAACTTCTAAAGCAGCTATCTAAACATAGACCAACCTTGCATTCTGGACACCATGTTGTTACATAGGTCATCTTTTTTTCTCCCTTGCTAGTATTAGAACATACAAAACACCTGCACTGACCTTTTTTTTTTTAGTTCCTGTTGAAGGTACAAGGTCAGGATAGTGTATTTCCATAAAATTTACAGCACTCAGCCTATTAATGTTACCATTCACTGTTCTACTAGGTCTAACACTAGTCAAGGTACCATATTTTTCAAGAAGTTGCCTTTAAACTCCCTAGCGAAATCTTTGAATTTCAAAAGGCAATCTCTTGTTTTGACTAGGTACATACTATAAGCATTTAACACAATTAGGTCCATCAGATGAAAGAAAAAGCTTCTTGTACCACTTTACAGGCTTTTTGACAATTTCATTCATTTATTTTATGATTTACCTTTTCACTGTTAACCATTTGTCCTTTATGAAAAGTGGTAAATATAGCCACATTACATTTATCATGAAAACGTATAGCCAACAAATTACCACTTTTTCTTCCTTTCAAATTCGTCAGATTTCAGCTTAGCAAACTTAGGAACATTCTTCCTGTTTTCTCTTACAGTTCCACAAGTGCCAATATTACAAGAATCCAAATATAAAGATAGACCAGGACTAGAGTACCAATTATCAATGTACAACAAGTGGCCTTTCCCTTCATATTTCTGTATCAATTTCTTCACAATGGCACCAGAAGCCCCATGAAGATCTTTTTTAGAATTGTCAATATCAGTACCTGTATAAACAATAAAATCCAAAATAATTCCTGTTTCACGATCACAAAGAACTTGGATTTTTATTCCGAATCTATGATGCTTTGAAGGTGTGTATTGCTTGAATATCAATTTCCCCTTGAATAGCATTAGGATTCATCAATTGCAATTGTTTGGAATGGGCAGAAAACTTTTCCTTCAAAACAGTAATCACTTCCCTTATCTTCCACAGTCTATCACTTTCATCGGAAAGCTCATTATCAGCAAAATGAATGTATCTAATAGTTCAAGGAACCTGTCTCTGATCATGTATTTTCCAAAAAAAATCTGTAGCAATCATGGCATCTTTTGACCAGTGCTCTTTTATTGTTCTTTTTTCCATATGAGACATTAGTAAAATAAGTGCAAAAAAAAAAAAAAAGAGTACATTTCATCAATTGTTGTCTCACTCCAATGCTGGCTTTTTGCCTTTTGATGTACATTATAATTGTGTACACAAAATTCATGATACATATTAGTATTGTCTAAAATCTTCTTCATAAGTTCACTATTGAAATAGGCTAAAAAATATTCAGTAATGGGTGCATTCTCTTGAATAGGAAATGAATCACAAATTCCTGAATTTTCGTTAGAGAATGAATAGTCATGAGGCACAAAATCATCCCCATTCTTCCATGTAATATTACCAGTATCACTATTATCTGAACATGCCTTAGGCTAACTTTCATCACTTGAAATATTATCATTATCTGAAGGAATGTCACTCAAATCAGACAATTCCTCTTCATCACTCCATTCATCTATAATTTTACGCACTGATTGAGGGCTAAAAGGACATTTATTGGTACGTGTGAATGAGGATGACATAGATGGTTTGACCATGATGAACAAATAACTGAAATAAAATGTATCTAATTCAAATGTAACTCATTGTTTTACAGTAAGTACAGCCTTCTATAAATAGATATTTCATTTGCTAGCATGTTATGATGTAGAGATAGCTGGATGGTTCATTGGATGGTATCTAATGACGTGAAAGTGCTTATCCAATCAAATTTTTTACTTTAAAATGCATTAACCAATGAAAGCAAGTGAAAGAAAGAGAGTAGAGTCATAGTGGTTCTAAAACTGCAACCATCTTTAATAAATAGGAATATGTGTTTATATGCCACACCTGGCTCTCAAGCAAGATATATAGAGTGTTTATTTACCACACCCATCCTTAAAGGGTTAACAGTTGGGAAGGTTTACAGTGTGAAACCTTGTCTATACATCAACAGTCGTGCAATTAAATCAATTACCTATGAGCATTGCTTTTATCCA